TACGTGTACGTGTGTATGTATATTGTATATATGTATGTGTATATGAGGATATGTGTATATGTGTGCTTATGTTGATATATACGTATATATATATATATATATATATATGTATATGTATATTTGTGTATGTATGTATGTGTTTGTATATATATATATATATACATGTATGTGTATGATCTGTAATCTATGTATGTATATGTAGTATATATATATATATATATACATATCCTCATATACTCATATACATATATACAAATATACCTATATATGTATACGTATAAATATACATATACAAATATGCATATACACGTATACGTATAATTATATATATTCATATTTATATTCATATACTTATACATGAACGATACATATACATTTACATCTACCTAAAAATACACAATTGTTTTGTGAATACGCGAACTGAACTAGCTAATCGCAGAATAAACGATTGTAGATGGTATATACTTGTTTGAATTGACCTAGTAATTTTGGTACGCTGACAACGATGTTATAGGTGGACATATGCTACTTCCGGTCGAGAGCCAAGCGAATAGTAGAGCAAGTTCGAGACATCTGTGCCATTCTGTCAGGGCTACTGGTTTCTTGCGACTATAAGGCAGGTCAGACCCTAGTGAAGGATCGGGAATTTAGTGAGAATGCCGACTTCTTTCAAACCGTCTTCGAGATCGGCCGCAGATATAAAGTTTTAAATCCAGGTATCTGTTGCTGAGCTTTGTTTAAAACCACTTTTTTTATTCACTCGTATTACGATGGGGACAATTTTGATTTATGTGCAATTGATTGTGAGCACATTATATATGTACATATTTAATAAACTATGTCGCAGGGTATCCAAGAATTATACATGGATTGATTTCTTGCTCATAGTCACACTTAGCACGTGTCTTTTCGAGATGGTAGATCGGACTATTCCGTTTCTATCGAATGTCTGTGAAATCATAAATGTGTTTTTGCACAAGCTCGTTATTTCATTCGCCACTTGTGAGTTCTAAGCCTCAAAATACCTCATCAAACACACGTTTCATCTGTATGGTTGAACTTGTATACGTTTGCAATGACATCTATACTCAGTCGACCCTCGGAGTACGTGGTAAAGTTATAGGCTGCAGATGTGTTTGTAGTGATCACTAAGGCACCGATTGGTCACACAAGTACGGAGTAAGCGTAATTAGTCTCGATTTACCCGAACTCAAAAACTTGTTATATTCCGATTCTACGTCCCAGAGCGCATGCGATCGTCCTACGGAAAGCTACTGTATTTTCTGCAAGACACGCAAATACCTGAAATCAAGGAGTTACTAGAGTTTTCGTGCGTCAAACCGATGAAGACGGTCTATGGATATCTGGAAGCGAATGGACTATTGAATTTGCTGCACGATGACTTGTTAGAGACGGCTACACATGAAATACCTGCGCATGGACAATCGCGTAGAGATGTGCAGAGAATGATAAAGGAGAAAAATATGGCGGTGAAGCGAATAATACGAAGGTGTGTCAGCTCTCTCTAATTCGTACAATTGCAGTCACACGCTGCAGCGTTACAGCGTGTAACGAATAATGTGAAGGCGGCAGACACTGTGTGTTGGATTAATATAAGGGTACATAACTCTCTAATGTCGACACACCGTGTAACGAATAATGTGAAGGCGGTAGACACTGTGTGTTGGATTAATATAAGGGTACATAACTCTCTAATGTTGACACACCGTACACGTACTGATTCTCTAGAAATAATGAAAGACCACATCACACCGTAAACAGGCCACATAGCACACCACAAACTCACCCACATAGCTCACAACAACACACCAGACCAGACCATTCATTGCTACACACCACCGCCGCACACTCACGCCACACCATACCACACCACACCACACCAAAAACTCACCCACATGACCCACAATAACACACCACCGCCGCACACTCACGCCACACCATACCACACCACACCGAAAACTCACCCACATGATCCACAATAACACACCACCGCCGCACACTCACGCCACACCATACCACACCACACCACACCGAAAGCTCACCCACATGACCCACAATAACACACCACCTCACCAGACTATACTATTCATTGCTACACACCACCACCGCACACTCACGCCTCACCACACCACACCACACCAAAAACTCACTTCCTGAGTAAACGGTTGCATCAACTCATCACATATATTTTTCCTCTCGCTGCGTCGCAACACTATCAGGTATGCCGATCCTGCAAATGGAATCAAAGAAGATGATATCGAGCGATGCTTGGTGTCTATTGGGGACAACAATTCGTTTCTAAGCTACAATAGAGATCCATGTGATGAGTTGATCGGTTATCTCCGGCACTATTTCTCACGCTCCTCCATCGATCCTGCATTCTCACTAGCTATCGCTTCTGGTATGTATTTCGTTTTACAATATTGTCTCTGTACCACGCACAGGTGACGATCACCAAGACCTCATGTCAAGATTTACACACCCAAACGTGCGGCTCAAGAACCTATTTGAAAGTTACTTTATCTATAGCATATCCGCGTGTGTGTCGGCGTAGTGTGTCATTTTAAAATAAAAGTAACTTGGCAATGAAAAATCAGCGCTGCTATGTATATTTATTGCGATTACGTACGCATCCGCTTCACTGCCATCAAAACTCGTCCTTCATCGCTGACGCCTTTTATCCTTTGTCTTCCACGTCTGCAGGTAAACAAGGAGCACGTTTAACACACTCACATACTCGACAGTACGACTACGTACTACAATCACTTTCACTGTGGCGTGAAATTTTGCACGATTTCTTTAATTTATGGCGATTAGCGGAGGCCGATCTCTTGAGGGAAAACAACGGTTATAGATTAGTAGACACTGGACAAGGATTGAATCGTATACAGAGTTGTAATAACACGTCAAGGCTCATGCATGCGATTTTGAACAAGGTGAGTCCTGATGTACGCATGATAATACCTATTAGTTGCAGTATGTTTTATCCACACTGTAGATATAAATTGAAGAAGGTAGCCCTCGAATATACAGTTAGTTGTTGTTGCTGGGGTTCGATGCTCTTGTTGTTGCTGTTCTGCGTTGTCAACAAATCGTTTGCATGCTTCGATAGAATTTTCCTCTGACAAAAAAATTTCTTGAGCGCCCATTTCTGTTTTTCCAACTAAGGAACTTTTCTGAGCGTGTATTCGCCGTAGTGTTTGGATAATCCACACATCATCTACAGTATAACTGTTTGTGGCGACAAACCCACCACTTGTGCGTACATTTGGATATATACTTGAGCACACTAGAGAGAAGACTCATGGAGACATGCGCGCACTGCATGCTCGTATATTACACAAAGTACTGTCCGCCTCATTGATGGAGTCTGTACGCTTTTGAACGTTGGGTGATCATTCGAGAAACATCATATGTCCCAATATTAACCAAATGTGTTTCTGGATTTGCACACATTAACACGGGTCACACTCTGCCAATATTGAATATTGCTAGGCACAAAGGAAGGTGGATTCTTGGGTAGGATCGTCCGTGATCCATATGGGAGATCACAATGTTCCAAATGCCTTCATGTTCATCGACAAGGTACTTTTATGTTTAGTATTACCCTTGTAGATGTAGACCTAGCTGAGATATAGTATTTCACAACTTCTGCAACTCCACTGTTTTTGAATTCTAATTTTGGTCAGGATTACTAGACTTTCCAGCTTTAACGGCTACCACGCACATGCCAATTTATAGACCTGTTTTCGGCGAGTATTCATAGCGGTGTGCAGGATAGGATGGTCGCGATATATGTACCGTATATGCTGAAATTTCCAACAAACTCTTCTCCAACCGCAGTATACACAAGTGGCTCGCATTCTGAATCCAATCGTGATCTGTCTGAGGAAGCTAGACAGCCTCGAAAATGATCCAGGTGTGTGAAAAAAACGGGGTCAGGTGTGCTTAGGTGAAAGTGCAGGTGAAAGATAGGTGCTTCATGTAGCATCATATTCAATTCTGCTTAAGTTACATCGGTTTTATAGCGTCTATTATGACATTCGATTTTCGAATCATCCCGCATATGTTTTCTGTAGCATGAACATCTTAAATTGTATTTAGTAGATTCCCTCTTGCGTAAAGCGATGATTTAACATAATGCGAGTCTTTGTGCATTTTTACCTTTTATGCAAAGAAATGAGCAAGATGGTCGTTTGTCACATATTACAAAACGCTATTTCTCGAGAGACGTAGTTTCAGTTCAATAGGGGTATCCTTTCTGGAATTGAATGGATAGCTTTGTGATTTTAGGAGGTGTACAGTCTATGTGAAGCCGCGACGTGCTTCGTCGTACTGTATTGAAATTTTGTTTCAATTCAATTACACTAATAATCTCACAAATGCTTGTCGCTGTTATCTCCAGGTCTTGCCGAGTATATTAAAACAACGTTCACGAGTGTCGATAATTGCAAACGTGTGATATTGAATGATTTCTTCAAGTTCGCCTTCGATGGTAGTGGTGCAGGTGCGTATATATATCCGCGGTTTCGCTAATTGTTTGTTACGTGCCTGCATATCGTCTTGCTAGTCAGCTTTTGCTGTTGCTACAGTGTCTAACTCCTTCGATATCGCTTCTCCACATCAACAGATAATTTTTTCGATGCCGGTTCTTGTATCGATGGACGTCTGACTTCCGCCTGGAATTGGTGTTCACGATTGGAAAAGAAGCGATATTACCCCGTGTTTTTGCTTACGGGCTTCGTAGGATTCGACGGAGAGTTTTAGCACCCACTTATTGATTCAGATGTTCGCCAACTGAGAGACTTTTAAAGTATACAATACTGACTCATATCGAAAAGTAGAAATACTACGTCGTCGATCGAGGGCGGGATGTTCTGTGTTGAAATCAAGTTCCCGTAGCAACACCAGCTGGTGTGCTAGTAGAGTATGCTTTGTAAGAGCTATTTGTTCACATGTAAGTTGTTTCAGAGCAGTCTAAGTTTATTGTCTCATGTTCGGTCGCTTTGGTTTACTGTACGAAAGTGAACACAGGCAACGGACGTGGACAGTATTTTTACTCATAGTCAGTGATGAATCGTTTTCTCGTTGGTCGACACGAAAGTGGCGTTAGAAATTTCGTAACGGAACTTGGTTTATACATACAGGTTTGGAGTAATAAGTCAAAGGGGTTTAGTGTTGACAGCACATGGTTTTACAACCCCCCATCCGATTTGCAATTGTGCAAAATTGGATACAAACAAGTGGCGTCAAGGTAGACCGTGCACGGGTAAAGTATTGAGTCAGTATATAGAAGTATGTAGTCAGTATATAGGGGACATTAGAACGTCGAAAAGTGACTGGGACCACTGAGGGAGAGTAGCCTGGTATTTGTTGCGCCAGTCGAGGATTTGAGAAGCCCGATATATACGGGATCAGTAGCGAGTGCATATGCACACTTAATGGCAAATTTCAAGTTCACCAAGCGATGAGGTTAGGTATGCTGAGTAAGTAATTCAATATCAATATATGAAAGGATGCATTATCCCTTGTATGACGATGTTAGTCAGAAAGCGCAATAAAAATGCGCATCGCAGAGTAGATTTGTATCGAAAAAGGATAGCTGCAGACCATTGCTTGAAGGCCTTGTCAATCTGGGCCTTTTCATGCTCAGGAGCATCGCGAAATGGACTTTGACAATAAAGCCAGCTTGTATACACATAATTTCTACGAGTACCAGAGATGGCAGATTTAGGGATTCCAACAGGTTCCCGAAAAGCCTTTAGCTTAGAACGGTGAACACGATATGTGTTCTTTGTATTACAATCTTGGATTGTCTGCATGGTCGGAGGGTCAAGGGAAGTGACTGTAGTGGGGCCACCCCGCAAAGTACGATCAGAAAAAAATATGGATTTGAGCTTTTAAAATACCGAGCGGCCAACAGCAATAAGCGGAGCATCGTAGCCGTAGCGGTTAGCTTAAGTAGCTTGAGTGGTTCGTGCACGAGTGTTTTGTTCCCAGACAGCACGGTCAGCGTCAGTACGTTGTGGGATAAGGGTAAGAGGAGATTCGCCAGGAGATAAATCCTCGATAATAATGGCCTCCAGGGCACGATTATTAGAATGGTGGTACTGACGACCAGTTACCAGAGTATATGATGTAACATTAGTAACAGTGTTCACACTGGAATTATGATCACATGCAAATTTTCAAGAATGAAGGTCCCAAATTGTTTGGTAGTGATTTCGTTCAATCCAGACGAGGTGGTATCAATGAATTTCTCAACTAGACCATTGTTACAATGATCCACAACAGAAACAACATGGCAAAGAGTGCCTTGGAATGTAGACTAATCTTTGAACAGGCGAGAATTAAAGGAACTTACATCATCATCAACGTATTCGGCAGTATATGCCCATTGTTCAGTTTGTTGTTGTAACTGCAAGACAACTTCAGAAGCAGTCTTGCAGTATGACGCATTGAAGCTATATGGACCAAACGGGTATGTTCGTCTATACAAAGGAATTGATATTTATAATCCCCAGGGATGATCGGCATAACCTTGAAGTCCAAATGACGCACAGCTCCTGAATATTTGCCACGATCAGGTTGGATTAAGAGACCCATAATCGGGCCTGGAGCATCTCATTCGAGGATGTAGCCCAGGCACGTGTTGAGAATGCGTAGAATGAAGTCATGTTTGAGAGTCCAAGCAAACAAATCAAGCATCAAGCGCAATAAACGGGAAGGGCGGAGGCGATCCCGGTCTATGCAGACTGACCAAATGGGACAAAGGACACGCTCCGGCGTAATCGTGCGGTTGTGCAACATATAAGATGTCTGGGAGAAGGCAAGGATTGCCTGGGGTAAGGTAATACCCTCATTGCCCGCAGTTGGAGGTTGAGGGACAACAGTATATTTAGTTTGGAGCATCGCAGTGCACTCATCATCCGCAAGATTATGAGAAACGGGATATGGACGTGCAGCCGGAGGTGGAGGGAGCATATACTCCAACGGTGGAGTGGGAGGTTTTTAAGGCGCCATACATTCCATCGGTAGAGCCTCCAAGGGTGGCAATTGTAAGCCAGGATCGTCTACTGAATCATTGTTCAGCACGCGTTCCCCATCTGGATCAGAGTCCCATTGAAGTGGTGGCACATACGAAACTAAATCAAGGCAAGTCACCGGTATGGGAGGCGGTGGGGAAATCTGCGTGTCTTGGTGAGGGGACCGAGAAATCTCGGACCCACGGAGAGTAGGGGTCACAGGTGGAGTGACACTAGTAGGAATCAAAGAGCACGTTCTGGGCATCAATTGGTCAGGTGAATTATGTGCCTTCGTTGGGCGGGGCGACGATGGTGGGTTAGACCAACGCCACTGCCGAGATTCAGCAAAGGACTGGCGGAGGGCATTACCCATACATGATTCTTGTTCTGGGTCGAAAGTAGAGGCAGATGGTCGCTTCTTAGTCAAGGCCAAACTAGAAGTAGGAGACAGGAGGACTGCATTGAGGATCACTGGAGGAGAACCTGTAGTACCCACTAGATGCCAAAAGAACAGTTTAGAGATAGGCAGTGGGGAAGAAGGCTTGTCACTGGAAAGAGGGCCAGCGTGACCAGGGAGGACAACCAAGCAGGGTGCTTTCATCCTTGAAAAACATATCATGGGTATGTGTGAGGACAAGGGAAGCTTCAATAAGATGGTCGAAGAATCGGCGCAAATAAGAGGAATTTGTCCAATATGGCATGATGGCCAAAGCTTTACAGCTGGTGGGGGCTTGATAACGCCGGAAGAAACTGTTGTAACAAGACCAAGGAGGATGAACAAGGACAAGTATATTGTCAAGGTTAATAGAATCAGCAGTTTGTCCCATAATACCCCTAAAGCTTAAGATGATGACAACTTCGACTGGCAAAGAGATCAAAGTGGGGACCCCTCTATTTCCGAACCAGTAGCTGAAACCAGGCTGGGTGTAGCTTCAATAGTATGCCACAAGATGAGAAGAAAGAGAAGCCACTATAAGAGGTCTGGGGGCTTGGACAGGAGTAGCACGGGAAATACGGCGAGATACAAAGAGCATCAAAGGATCAAGGGTAGCAGGTCCCCGAGAAAGCATATCAGCTATAAAGTTCCAGTCACCAAGAATGTGACGTATGTTAATGTCATAACGTCGAACTATCTCCACAAGACGCGAAAGACAATCACCTCGAGTTGAAGGAGGAAATGTCAATTATCATATAGTGGTGAGAGAAAGAGATAATGGACATGTGGTCCGTTCAAACACTTAGTGAACGATGGTTTGGGGTCAGAATCATCTCATCTATGTCAACTTTATAAGCAATAGCCATAGTTTCTAAGTCAAAGATATGATAACGGGGTTGTGCCGCGTTGAGTTTAGTTGATCGGTTTGAAACCAGGCGAAGGCAGTCAATGCCATTTACACAAAAGCCGTCCTTTTTAAGATCAACGAGGGGTTGAGGAACCGGTATGTAACTGGGTAGGGTAGGAAAGAAGTACAGCTTTCCGAAGAAACATCCATTTCCGTTTTGCTAGAAACTCCTTCTAAGTTCGGCGAGGCTTCTTGTTGAGCGGAAACTGAAGGGACCATTCTACAGAATGCTGTAGATGTCGCTCAGGAAAGAAGCTCGAACAAGGTGGTTCAGGAGGAGGGAGGGTACGTTTATGGGAAGTTTGATACTTGAAATTGTCACGAAGGGCCTCATCAGCAGCTTCCGCTTATTTAGCACGAAGCGGTTACGTCCAGTCACGAGATAAGGGGGTGGAAGAGAAATCAGGTGGGGAAATCCGCACAAAACGACCAGAACCAAGCCCCACAGGGTACGCTTCAACAAAAAAGATAGAGGTGATGAGCTGGGCAGGAGTGACCAATACAATGTCACCTTAGATGGCATTGTCAATAAGAGGCTTTCAGCCGATCCTGGCTGATAGTTGTATAACTATGGAGGGTTTCTCGACCATAATAAGCTTTGGTGGAGGCACACATAAGGGCTAAATGGGTTTTAGACGCACGCAGGCGAATACCAGCAACATAGTAGATTTGGGCATATTGAAGAAGATCAGTTAAATGGCGGAGCAAAAAGTCAGAACCCCAGTGAGCCATAGACCCATCATCAACGAAGTGTTAAAAATATCAGGGAGTTTCTGAAACGTCTGGTCAAAAACTGATTGCAACTGAAAAGTCATCATTTTAACGCCAAAAACACCAGCAATTGGGCGCCAAACTTCACCTTTAGAGGTAATCCAGATAAGGCTGTCACGGGAAAACAGTGTACGAATTTTGAGCTGGTTAAATGAGCAGGCCATGTCCATAGTAGAGATAGTATCGCCACGGCGGATATGATCAAGATATTCTTGTTCTGTGGGCATGAGTTAGAGATCAACCCTGCAATTGTCATTGTTTACTTTATAGTTTGACAATACCACACGTCGTTAATAGACGTGGGCTTAACACGTCGATCCTTTCGTGCGAGTACAGCACTGGACATCCATGGACTGAAAAAATTTAGACTCCCAGCAAATCAAGTCTTGATTCTTTGGTTTATATATGATTTGGCGTGGGACTGGTTTGTCTATGAATCTCCATTTCAACTTTTCAAGTCCATGAATAGTTATGGTGGTCTGTGTCGTAGACAATTTGATTGAAAGCATCTTTTATTTCTGTAATATATACAGGTAATTCGTGTAGAAGGAAAGTCAAGTCATTTCTGCCGGTCCAGTTATATTGTTCGACCTCACTCGGTGTTTCACGATATTTACGATGAAACTCAAGAACAGCGGCTTCATCGAATTTTGCCATAATTAGACGTATATGTGACAGATAGGACTAAGTTTTTGGTCTCGTAAAGGGTGAGATGATTGTTTTCATCATATATTGTTTTAGAAGTGTATCAGTCACTTGTTACGTGGGAGAAATGAGAGAGCGTCCTCCAAAGACGTTCATTTCAACGGAGTCAATCGAAATGGGCTCAAGAAATTTTGTTTCAACGAGGGACTTATTGATAAGACCTGGGATGTGTAGAAATACGGCCTCCGGTCAGTCTAAAATATCAAGATCAATTGAGATAATACATTGGTTTTTATTTGTATTTTAAATAATTTAATACAAGCTCTTTTTCCAATATTTCCAAAGTGTTCTAAATTCACTTCGATGGCTCCAATAGCCTGAGTATTTGGTATGATTCATCTACTTGGACCTATTTGAGACATTAGTAGATGTAGGATATTATAAACTAAATTTTATAATCTCCGAACTACTACTTATAGATTTTGGTCCTCCCGCCAATCTCCAAAATCCAATAAGTCTTTTTCTTTTTTTAACTTTTCTTCAGATGGAACTTTATTTATATCAGCTAATGTATTAACGTAACGCGACTTACGTTATTATGTCTATCTACAAATTAGGCATGTGGTCATGAACACCTAGTACTTCTAGTGAAAATTATTCAATAAAGAACAGCTAGAGGTACGCCCTGTGTGATCGAGGATATTTAGGCTCTTAACAAGAGGCAGTCCCGATCATTCTTACACAAGCTACCACTGCTAAATCCTGACTGACTAAATTGTATTTTAGTTTAATATAGTTTGAAACCTAGTAATTTCCATCGAAGTTTACATGGATGCCCAGGAGATCTTGAAAGTTAAGATTGGTGACTGGAATCGAGATGGTATTTCAAAA